ATAATTTAAGTAAAACATAATTAGGTACGAAAATTAAATTCAATCTTTTCTAAGCTCCTGAAGATTCTGCAGCTGAAATGTAACTCTAATTCATTCACTGTCTTTTCACTCTCCAATGCCATTTTACTACACTGAATTTTACTGCTTTCCATAGGTTATTGCAATAGTTCCCTATTTGGCTTTCTTGCTTACCTCTTCCCTGTCCAACAACCATTCTGCTGACAGTAATTTTCAACAAACAAACAAACGCAGCTCTCATCACAAAACTTTCTTTGCTTGAAAACACTTGATGGCTCCCCATTTCTCATCAAATTGAATGTACATGCCACAACCTAACATTTAAGGCTTCTTCACGCCACCTGCCCCAGGAAGCTTTCCTGATCGTACTTCGGGAATGTCTTATCATTCTTCCCACCTCTGAATCCTCATAATGCACTCGGTATTTTCCTCTAAGGGAGACTAATGTATTCCTGAAGTCGTGCTATTTTTCTACTCTCCTGTGAGTTCTTTTTACCTTATTAAAAAATTATTTTTATTGAAGTTCAGTTGCTTTACAATGTTACTTTCTGCTGTACAGTAAAGTGAACCAGCTATGTGTAGACATGGGTCACCTCTTTGCCACGGCAGAGCGTTGAGTAGGGTTCCCTGTGCTATGCAGCAGGCTCTCACTGGTTCTCTCCTTTTTTACATAGTAGTGTATATATGTCTATCTCAGGCCTCTAATTCGTCCCAACCTCCACCTCCTTTCCTCTCTTGGTGTCCACACATTTCTTCTCTACAGCTGTGTCTCCGTATCTGCTTTGCAGATAGGTTCATCTCTACCATTTTTCTAGATTCCACATATATGCATTAATATTAATTGAAGTCTTGATAGCTTACAGTGAACAGTGTCACATTCATGATTTTCCAAAGAAGATTTAGCTTCGGGACCAGGGACCAGGATTGATCACTCAAGAGCTTTTGTGTAGCAGAGTTTTATTAAAGTATGAAAGGGACAGAGAAAGCTCTTGAGTAACTGAATGCAGTCCCCAGAAGGGGAGCCTTGTCAGGGGTTTATGCCGACATGCCAGTGCCAAGAGACACCCAACCTCCCTGCGAGGGGAGCGGTCAGAAATGGACGAAGTGGATCGACCGAAATTTCCTTTCTTGGTCACCTTTTCCTGGTCTCTTTGACCATTTTGTAATTGCGTGGGGAAACAGAACTACTAACCTCATTTGTCAGATCATAGACTTTCAAGGGACTTGTGATCCATGCTGTTACTGTGTACTTTTACTTAGACTCCATGTATGGAAGTGCCTAGCCTTGCTAGGAGCCAAAAGTTTACAAGAGCACTTCTGGGAGAGAGGCGGAGCTCTAGCTCCAGGAACATCTCTCAGGCTAGAGGTCATTCTCTTGGCTGCCTGCCTCAAGGGCCAGCGACCTGAAAGTGAGACTTTGTCATGGCTGTGCCTCCGATCTTTGTGGATAAAAGCCCTGCTGGTGACCATGAGGTTTTTGAGGACACAGGTTGGGAATTGTTTCTTCCTTTGGTAGTGTTAGTTCTTTCTGCGGAATCTGTGGAAATGAACTGGAAGGATTGGTCCTAATAGCTTGAGGACAAAAATCACTTTTTCCTTGCTGGCCGACCCTTTTGCCAGCACATGTACTGGTGTGGCGACACTGAGAGGAGACATTGTGGGTGTTGTTCATTCCTTTATGACTCACTGCTTCTACTGCGGTCAGGACTGTGCATGGGCGCATGGAAGATGGAAGCTTCCCCTAGGAGTCCCTTGGAGATTATTCTGGGAAAGCTACTCGGCTCTACTGGGTCACATCAGAAGAATGCAAATCAAACAAAGGTTTTGGTGGTAAGGAACTGAATCAATTTGGGATTCCATCAGGTCTGCCCTTGGCGCATCTCCACCCCACCTCAGGGGTAGAACCGGGAGGGATGACTAAGGCACCTGCGTTGGTAAGTAGCACATTAAGTCTGACAAGGGAAGAAAATCTTCGGTGGAAAGTCCGTCTACACCCCCATCTAGACCAGGGACGGGTGCCTCTGGTGGAAGGAAGCCACGGCTGTGGATGCCGCTTTTTCCTCTCTCACAGATTGGAGCTAGCAGTTCCAGAAGCACTTTTTTATCATTTATTTTTAAAAACTGGGACAAGTTTGATCCCCAGAGTTTAAAAACACACGTCTGATCTTCTTCTGTGATACTGAATGGCCACAGTATCCTTTGGAAGATGGGGAACGTTGACCTGTTAAAGGGTTTCAATTATAATGCTGTTTTACAATGAGATTGGTTGTGTAGAAAACAAGACAAATGGGTAGAAGTGACATATATGTTTCTCTTTCTCTCTCTGTGAGACATGCCAAGCTTATGTCCTAAGAGTACAGATTTCAGTGTGAAACCTTCAGCTCCTTCCTCTTCTCTTACTTTGCCCCTGGATCTGGGGCTCCCAACTGAACAGGCTGAGAATCAGGACACCCTTCTAGGAAGGGTTGCCTCAGGCTTGGTAGAAATTCAAACAGTACTAATTGTGGTCAAAACTATCTAGAAGATACAAGTACATAGAAGCCTTTACAGGACTAACTTTATGGGCTTACTTGGTGATATATGTCTTGGATATTCAGATGCTGACTCCTGAGCAAGAGCTTGAGTTTTGGGGGAAGCTACTGCTTTTGGAGATAAATGGCTTGAATGTGAGACAGGGGAAAGAGGGAACATGAAATAGCCCTCCTTCTGCAGTTCATTTCAGTCACTTAGTCATGTCCAACTCTTTGTGACCCCATGGACTGCAGCATGCCAGGCTTCCCTGTTCATCATCAACTCCAGCAGTTTACTCAAACTCCTGTCCATTAAGTCGGTGATGCCATCCAACCATCTCATCCTCTGTCATCCCCTTGTCCTCCCACCTTCAATCTTGCCCAGCATCAGGGCCTTTTCCAGTGAGCCAGCTCTTCAGATCAGGGGGCCAAAGTATTGGAGTTTTAGCTTCAGCATCAGTCCTTCCAATGAATATTCAGGACTGATTTCCTTTAGGATTGACTGGTTTGATCTCCTTGCAGTCCAAAGGACTCTCAAGAGTAGAGTCTTCTCCAGCACCACAGTTCAAAAGTATCAATTCGGTGCTCAGTTTTCTTTATAGTCCGGCTCTCACATCCATACATGACTACTGGAAAAACCATAGCTTTGACTAGATGGAACTTTGTTGGCAAAGTAATATCTCTGCTTTTGAATATGCTGTCTAGGTTAGTCATAGCTTTTCTTCCAAGGAGCAAGCGTCTTTTAATTTCATGGCTGCAGTCACCATCTGCAGTGATTTTGGAGCGCAAGAAAATAAAGTCTGTCACTGTTTCCATTGTTTCACCAACTATTTGCCATGAAGTGATGGGATCCAACGCCATGATCTCAGTTTTCTGAATGTTGAATTTTAAGCCAACTTTTCCCTTCTCCTCTTTCATTTTCATCAAGAGGCTCTTTAGTTCTTCTTCACTTTCTGCCATAAGGATATCATCTGCGTATCTGAGGTTGTTGATATTTCTCCCGGCAATCTTGATTCCAGCTTGTGCTTCATCCAGCCCTGCATTTCACATGATGTACTCTGCATATAAGTTAAATAAACAGGGTGACAATATGCAGCCTTGACGTACTCCTTTTCTTATTTGGAACCAGTCTGTTTTTCCATGTCCAGTTCTAACTGTTGCTTCCTGATCTGCATACAGGTTTCTCAAGAGGCAGGTCAGGTGGTCTGGTATTCCCATCTCTTTCAGAATTCCCCACAGTTAATTGTATCCACACAGTTGAAGGCTTTGGTGTAGTCAATAAAGCAGAAATAGATGTTTTTCTGGAACTCTCTTGCTTTTTCGATGATCCAGCAGATGTTGGCAATTTGATCTCTGGTTCCTCTGCCTTTTCTAAAACCAGCTTGAACATCTGGAAGTTCACGGTTCATGTATTGCTGACGCCTGGCTTGGAGAATTTTGAGCATTACTTTACTAGCGTGTGAGATGAGTGCAATTGTGCGGTAGTTTGAGCATTCTTTGGGATTGCCTTTCTTAGGGATTGGAACGAAAACTGACCTTTTCCAGTCCTGTGGCCACTGATGAGTTTTCCAAATTTGCTGGCGTATTAAGCCCAGCACTTTCACAGCATCATCTTTCAGGATTTGAAATAGCTGAATGAATAAAGGTACTAACAGCACAGGTTCCCCTAGGGCACTGCAGAGCGCCAGGGGACAGGAAGAGCTGGTGGCGCCGGTCACACGCTGGAGCTGCCCTGGGCTCCTTCGGAGAGCGTTCCACCACTTGCCCCGCTGTGGCGCAGGCAAGACACGGCAGGGGTGCTTAAACTTTTCCTCTTCACCCCTCAAAAATTATTTGTGTATGTACGCACTGCTAAATATATGTTCATACACACACACCTTACCTATATTAATACCTAAAAATATTCATTCTCCATATCCAGGTATGTGTATATATAAAATAGGTAAATGTAAACCTGCTGCTGCTGCTGCTGCTGCCAAGTTGCTTCAGTCGTGTCCGACTCTCTGCGACCCCATAGACGGCAGCCCACCAGGCTCCCCAGTCCCTGGGATTCTCCAGGCAAGAACACTGGAGTGGGTTGCCATTTCCTTCTCCAATGCATGAAAGTGAAAAGTGAAAGTGAAGTCGCTCGGTCGTGTCCCACTCTTAGCGACCCCGTGGACCGCAGCCTACCAGGCTCCTCCGTCCATGGGATTTTCCGGGCAAGAGTACTGGAGTGGGGTGCCAGTGCCTTCTCCGAAATATATACCTATAAGTAAATTAAAATGTGTACAGCCTTAACTCGGAACTGCGAGAGTTGCGCGGAGTGTGACGGCTAGGAACGCCCCTTCGCCGCTCCAGGACTGCAGGAGCGGAGCGGCGCGGCCCGGGCGAGGCTTGGCCCTGTCGGCTTGCCGTCCGCCGCCGCCTCCGCCATTGGTTGGGCTCCAGGCATCTGACTCGGGCGGCGGGGCTAAGTAGGGAGCTTCAAGGATGGCGGCGTCCGCGGCGCTGATCCTGCGGGAGAGCCCCAGGTAGCCCCGGCTGGGCGCGGGGGGACAGCGGTCACCGGGGTGACGCGGGCAGGGCCGGCCCGAGGATGCTGCTGCTGTCTGTCGCCGGGGCGCCGGGCCGGCGGAGTCGCTGCGCGGGCCCGCGGGAATGCGGCACCGCGGGCCCCTGGGCGCCGCCGCCTGCACCGTGGTTCACTTGCGTGGGCTTTCAATGAGTCCGACAGCTGAAGTCAGTGAGTGGTGTCTGGTCACTGTCACTGTTCCCCGAGGCTGGTGTCGCTGGTACCCAAGCCATCCTGGAGTAGGTCTGAAATCACGTGAAGAGGCGTTACCTTTCCTTTTCCAATACTTTTCAGACTTTCTGATTTTGAGAAAGACTCCCATTGATCCTGAGTGGTCATTAGTACTTAACACGTGTTATTACAGCTTTTCAATCAAGATCGAATAGGCCCCAGGCCAGGAGTTTTTTGGCTGGTAGCAGCATCTGACCAGAATTTGGTAACCTTGCTTTTGTTTTCACTTTATTTACCTTTTGTCCATTTATATATTTAGTTCATATCTATTCATGGTAGGTAAGGTCGGCAGTCTATAGTGGTGATATAAAGTTCTGTTTTAAAGTAAAATTTGGCAAAAATGATTCCATTTAATGAAAGATAAATAATAGTGCACGTAGTGTGTGGATGCAGAAAAGTGCAGAAGTATCACTGAGTCTGGAGAATAACTTCTTTGTGCATAGTGTTAGTTGCTCAGTCGTGTCCGACTCTGCACCTCATGAACTGTAGCCCGCCAGCCTCCTCTGTCCATGGAATTCTCCAGGCAAGAATACTGGAGTGGGTTGCTATTCCCTTCTCTTGGGATCTTCCCAAACCAGGGATCGAATCTGGGTCTCCTGCGTTGCGGGCAGATTCTTTACGGTCTGAGCCCCCAGGGAAGCCCATCTTGGGCCTAGAAGGGACAAGAATCTTTTTGAAGAGAGTTGTCATTTTGAAGTTTTTCCTTCTTTGATTGCATTCTGACAGCCAATTGCTTTTTTCACACCAGTGTCCTGGGTAACACACCACATCAGTAAACCATATCCAGCGTGGTGTAGTAGAATTGTTTAAAGTTGGTTACAGTTTAAACAGGGTTTTAAAACAACTGCGCACTTCAGTATCAGTTCAATGGCTCAGTCGTGTCCGACTCTTTGCGACCCCATGAACCGCAGCACGCCAGGCCTCCCTGTCCATCACCAACTCCTGGAGTCCACCCAAACCCATGTCCATTGAGTCGGTGATGCCATCCAACCATATTATCCTCTGTCAACCCCTTCTCCTCCTGCCCTCAATCTTTCCCAGCATCAGGGTCTTTTCCAATGAGTCAGCTCTTCGCATCAGGTGGCCAAAGTATTGGAGTTTCGGCTTCAGCATCAGTTCTTCCAGTGAACACCCAGGACTGATCTCCTTTAGGATGTACTGGTTGGATCTCCTTGCAGTCCAAGGGACTCTCAAGAGTCTTCTCCAACACCATTGTATGTTAATGTTTTTTAAAATTCCATTATCTGCAATGCATCAGTCTTTTTATCTGTTTTTGGTGTAGCTGCCACTTCCCTCCCCCCACTCTTTTCAGAGTTCTGTTTTGAGTTACATGCATACATAAACTCCCACTCCTAAGTTGGTACTGTTCCCCACAGAGTGCAAACTTTCCTGAGTAGTTTGCCAGGCCCAGAAGAAAGAGAAAATTTGCCAAATAGACCTTTTCAACAGAGGTACTTTTGGGGTATCTTTTGGAAATGTCCTGTCTTCTTTGCTGGCCATCATCTGTTTTTCTTTATTTCACTCAGACTTACCTTTATAGCAATCAGTTGTTGAAATGAAAACTTACAACCAACCATACTTAGAGCAATGACAGTACCACTTGGGGAAAACATATTTTAAAACTTTGTTTTATGAATTTCTTTAGCATGAAAAAAGCAGTGTCCTTGATAAATGAAATAGATATAGGAAGATTTCCACGACTGCTCACCCGAATTCTTCAAAAACTTCACCTGAAGGTTTGTATGTTTGTAATTCTATCGCTTATAATTTGTTCTTATTCTACTGCAAATCCAGGTTTCCACTTGAATGACTTTTTGCAAGGTATTGTTCTCCAGCAATACTGGGGAACAATGAGTCTCCAGAAAATTTGATGAATATCCTATGGTCAGAAGTTTGGGAAGTTCCGTTTTCATTCAAAACAATGTGTTTTTTTTTTTTTTTTGTTATGGAACTTATCAGAGTATATTTTATGGTAGCATTAATAGTAAATATTTAAGGGTGACTATTGTATGCAGAATTTTCCATGTGTATTTTTTTTTCCCATATGTATTTGACCATGGAATTGTTTTATCATGGTATTTATTTTGGGATTAAGATTCTGTGGAACATGTTTTGGGAAAATTCTGATGTTATGATTTCATTCTTCCTCTTAAAAATATTTCTGTAGTCTTTCTGTCAACCGGTATATAATCTTTCTCTTCCACTTTTATTTCAAGGGTCTGATTATCTTGAAAGTATTGATAATTAGTAATTCACTACTTGGTCACCAATCTTAGTTAATTTCTTTATCAGGTTCTGGAAGAATTATGAATATCAGACATAAGAAATGCTTCAAAAAATAAAAAAAAGAAATACTTGATTCATTACAAGAAACTAGTGTAATCCAAATGAATCTTTGAAATATAACTATTCACTCAGAGAAATAAAACCTGGAGCCTCTGGAGTTTGGTGTATTTGAAACATCACAATGAAACTATACCTACATATACCTAAGTTTATTGGCAATGGAGAAGAAAAAAGTTAAAAACTATTGATATGTCCTTTTTTTAAATTAAAATATAGTTAATCTACAATGTTATATTTCAAGTGTAAGGCAAAGTTGTTGATATATACATGTATTCTTTTTCAGATTATTTTTCATTATAAGTTATTATAAGATGTTGAGTATAGTACTTTGTGCTATGCAGTAGATCCTTGTTGTTTATCTGTTTTATATGTAGTAGTATGTGTATGTTAATCCCCAAATCCTAATTTATCTCCCTCCACATCCCCATTTGGTAACTGTAAATTTTTTTTCTATGTTTTGGTATATTTTTCCTTAAAACTATTTCAGAAACATAGGACTTCCCTATAGCTCAAATAGTAAAGAATCTGCCTGCAATGCAGGAGACCAGGGTTCGATCCCTGGGTTGGGAAGATCCTCTGGAGAGGGTTATGGCAATCTACTCCAGTATTCTTGCCTGGAGAATCCCGTGGACAGAGGAGCCTGGCGGGCTACAGTCTGTGGGGTCGCAACGAGTTGGACATGATTGAGCAACCAACACACAGTGCAATCTGATATCCTTTGTTTACAAGTCTAGAATGGGTGCCATACATTTCAGAAAGATTGCTTTTAAAACTTTAAAAGTTATTTGATAGATTGACTTGTGGGTGCTATCATATTTCCCCATTATGATAGAGAGGTCTTGTTATATTAACATAAAGGACAATCACAGGTGTAAACCCCAGCATATAGAAATGTGTGAGGATTTTTGTTGTTGTTACAATGTGTTTAGGGTGCTGCTGGTGTTTAATGCCCTGAGACGTTAAATGTATTAATAATGTGCAGCACAGTCCTGTACAAAGAAGAATTGACCCCATCTCTGAACAAAAAAAAGAAAAAGCATAGCTTATCTCTGAAAAAGCATTTATTTTGTACTTAATATAAGCTGGAGGACTTCTTACAACTTAAGTTTATCAGGTTAAAATTATATATGTACACTAAATTATGACGTATGCAGACTACTAGTATCATGTGTTTTTCCTCGGTGATGGTATGTGTGTATGCCTGTGTATGAAAAGCAGAGCTTGAATTTTGGACCAACGGCCTCTCTTCTCTCTAAAGCCATGCTCTGAGTTGAAAATGAAAGTGAAAGTCACTCAGTCATGTCTGACTCTGCGACTTCATGGAATTTTCCAGGTCAGAATACTGGAGTGGGTAGCTGTCCCTTCTCCAGGAGATCTTCGCAACCCAGGGATCGAACCCGGGTTTCCCGCATTGCAGGCGGATTCTTTACCAGCTGAACCACCAGGGAAGCAATTGCCTTTATCATTAGTTCAATAATATTCTGCCTTCATAGAGTAGAAATTCTCTGTAAGTTTCTGAGGAATGTGACCTGATTTTAACTATATGTGGAACTGAGATTAGTTCACTCATTATGCATGTTAAGAAAATGAATTCTTCAAAACAAAAAAAAGAAAAATGTTGGAAGAATGGATTTTTTTGATTTGCTCTTTTTGTGCCTTTGAAGTTCAAAATAGAGTGCTTAAGTTGTTTTAATAACATTTATGTTTTAATAACACAAACTATTTCACAAATAGTTTGAGTGTTTGTTTTAAGACATCTAAACAGTGTGGACGAACTGAAATGCCCTCTTGATTAACTTTTGCTTCTTTCTCCACCTTGATTCTTTGCTGTGTTAGTTATCTATTGCTGAATTTCAAATTTCCCCCAAATTTAGCAGCTTAAAACAACAATAATCATTTATTGTCTCTCACACCTCCTCTAAGTAAAGAATTTAGCAGTGGCTTGGGCGGGTGGCTCTGACTTGGGGTTCTCATAACATTGCTACCAGCTTCTGGTGGAGGCAGTTGTTACCTGAAGTGTTGACTGGGCTTGGAGGATTTCCTTCTAACATGGCTAGCTGGTGGCAGCTGTGGTTCCTTGTCCCGTGGGCCTGTGCTCCTGACACGGGTGGGGTTGGCTTCTTCTAGAATGAGTGGTCCAGGAGAGGACGGTGCTGTCCTTTTTATGACCTAACCTTGAATATCACATAACTTCATTTTCACTACATTCTTCTTCTTAAAAGTAAGTCAGTTAGTCTGACTCATATTCAAGGAAGAGGAACTTAGGCTTCCATCTTTTGAATGGAGGCGTGTTAAAGAATCTGCAGACATGAGAAAACCATCACATCTCCCTTGAAGCTATCTTTGTTGTCGATTTGATTTTTATCTTTCAAGGTCTTTTTTCAAGTATTAGTAAATACAGATGTGCCCACGTATGTGCATGCATATACACACAGAACTGTTTGGTTTGTAAATAAATTTTTTCATAAGTGGCATTGTACTGTGTGTATTGCCCTACTGTGTACCTTTTCCACTTATCACTTTTACCAGAAATCTTTCCTTGTCAGTCCATATATAGTGCTTATTCTTTTGAAGTATTGGTTTTCCTTTTTACCTGTATATGTCTATATATGTTTATGTGTGCTGTGCTTAGTCGCTCAGTTATGTCCAACTCTTTGCAACCCCACCAACTGTAGCCCACCAGGCTCCTCTGTTCATGGGATTCTCCAAACAAGAATACTTGAGTGGGTTGCCATTCCCTTCTCTAGAGAATCTTCCCAGCTCAGGGATCAAACCCAGTTCTCTTGCATTGCAAGCGGATTCTTTACCGTATAAGCTACAGGGAAGTTCTATGTTCTGTGTTTATGGGATATGCTTTTTAAATATATAGAAAAATTAACATCCACTTTCCATTAAAAATTTAAGTTTCTTAGACCCTTGATCTCTGATTTTATAAACCTGGGCCTTAAATTTTTCTCCCATTGAGAGGATAAAAATGAATATATCTCTTTAACTTTTTCAGTGCCCAGATATGTGTGGGTTACTTTTGGTATAGAGGAAGAAGTTAACCGGCTGCTGTTTGGAAGCAAATGCCATGACTTACATTTAATATTTATCTGCCCAGGGTTGTTGTCAGATCAAGATGTTGAATATGTGTTTGGAACTTTGTTTTGTAGCTGTATTCTGCATTTGTTGTTCTGTTCACATATTGATGCTGGGAGGGATTGGGGGCAGGAGGAGAAGGGGACAACAGAGGATGAGATGGCTGGATGGCATTGCTGACTTGATGGACATGAGTTTGGGTGAACTCCGGGAGTTGGTGATGGACAGGGAGGCCTAGCGTGCTGCCATTCATGGAGTCGCAAAGAGTCGGACACAACTGAGCGACTGAACTGAATTGAACTGAACCTTATTTTAAGGGTGCATGTCTCATGTACTAGCAGTTGGGGGGAGATAAATGTTCCCTTGCTCCCCTTCACTCCAAACCACTTTATTAATATAATGCTTCTGAAGATCTTGAGAATGTCCCTTTTTTGCCCTCTTTTTGAAAAATCTCCCTTTCTTGTACATCTGAGGACACTGAAGTTTATTTTTCCGTGTGCCCGGTCACTATCTTTATTTTGTCAAAAACACCTCATTAGGTGTATGTTAAAAGGAATCAGTTTGACACACTTGTAAGTTAGATTGTACATATCCATTGAATTTAAGGCAACATGTGGTTCAGTGATTATATGTGAGTAGTACTGTTATTCTGTTCCTTATCTTGATAAAACTCTAGTACTGTAGGTCATTATTTTAAGAAGGTATGTCTTCTTAAAGAAGGTAGTCACAGAAACTCTGGAACTTTAAAATCAAAACATTGGTCTTGAGGTAAGTGACTGACATTTTAGCCAAATTGGGTTCATGCTTTTCTTAGTCAGAAAATAGGTAGTAGAGACTGGAGTTCCAAGAGACTGACCTCCCTAAACCGAAAATGTGGCAGTTCTGAGCTGCAGTTCTAAACTTAGACTTCTAAGCTTCACCTCATTGCTGCTTCACTACAAGAATGCTGTTGTAAAATTGTATCTCATCCTAAGCCATCAAGGCAGGGACTCATGATACTTCTGAAACTTCTCCATGTAGCTACTGGGGAGAGGCAGCAACTGGGAAAGTTGTTTGGTATGTGGGGATAAAGTATTTTTATTTGAAAGCAGTTCTAATAGTGTACATTTTTCATGGGTGAAAAACCGATCTTTGGATCAAGGAGATTATTTTGGAAATGGAAGAAAGACTAGCCACGAGGTTGTACTCGGATGACTCACTTCTGTTTTTCACATATTGCTTATGAAAGTAATGTGTGTAATGTGTAAGTTTTGGAAAATACTAAAATTATCAACAAGATTTCTTGATTTATGTGTACTCTTATAGTAACCCATACTTTTGCAGAACTTATTAAAATGGAAATTATTGGAATAGTTGTTTGTAAGGTCTTTCTAACTAGAGCATAGTATACCCGAGGGCACAAACCATCTGTGTAGCACATGGAAAATACTCAGTAAATGTGTTTTGCTGTTCAGTTGCTAAGGCATATCCAGCTCTGTGACCCCATGGACTGCAGCATGCCAGGCTTCCCTGTCCTATTTGTTGGTTTTACTTGCTTGTATTTCTGTGGTAACAGTTGTGATTTCTCTCTTTGATTTCTATGTTGTTTATTTGGGTCTTCTCTCTGTTCTTGGTGAGCCTGGCCAGAGGTTTGTAAATCTTGTTTACCCTTTCAAAGAACCAACTCTTGGTTTTATTGATTTTTTTTTTTTCTATTTAAAAAAAATTTCTTATTTATTTTCTCTCTGATCTTTATTAGGTCCTTACTTCTGCCGACTTTACATTTTGTTCTTCTTTTGCTAATTCTTTTAGGTGGTGGTTTAGGTTGTTTATTTGAAAGTTTTCTTGTTTCTTAAAGGCCTGTATCACTGTGAACTTCTATCTAAGAACTGCTTCTGCTGCATCCTGTAATCCGTTGACTTTTAACAAAATAATACTAAGGCTCCAACTAGTTGCCACCTCTCTATCTGATGGGAATCTTGGTGCTAGGTAATGGAGGATGTAGATAAAGGTTCTTAAGGTTAACGGATTTTATCTCTTTAATCCTACCTCTTATAAATGCTGACAGGGGCTTAATGCTGGGTCAGGTCATATATTGGGAGAGGTTTTGGAGTGAGTGCAGGGAGGAAAGAAAGAGCTAACAAGGGAAAGGAACTCCCAGGTATTTTCTATCTTAAAATGCTATTCTCTTAAGAAGATTTTGCTTGGACTCTTAGAAAAGTTGCTGGGACCCATTATAATTGGTTAGTATTATTACAGAGAAGGTGTTCTCCCCCACAATGTTTTATTTATTTTTTAAAAGATTTTATTTTATATTGGAGTATAGTTGATTTATAGTGTTACAAGTGAGTGATGAAGGTGAAAGAGGAGAGTGAAAAAGCTGGCTTAAAACTCAGCATTCAAAAAACTGATATCATGGCATCCAGCCCCATCACTTCACAGCAAATAGATGGGGAAAAAATGAGAATAGTGACAGACTTTATTTTCGTGGGCTCCAGAATCACTGCAAAATGGTGACTGCAGCCATGAAATTAAAAGACTTGCTCCTTGGAAGAAAAGCTATGATCAACCTAGATAGCATATTAAAAAGCAGAGACATCAATTTGCTGACTAAAGTCCATCTAGTCAAAGCTATAGTTTTTCCAGTAGTCCAGTAGTCATGTACGGATGTGAGAGTTGGATCATAAAGAAGGCTGAGCACCAAAGAATTGATGCTTTTGAAGTGTGGTGCTGGAGAAGACTCTTGAGAGTCCTTTGGATAACAAGGATATCAAAGCAGTCAATCCTAAAGGAAATCAGTCCTGAATATTCATTGGAAGGGCTGATGCTGAAGCTGAAACTCCAATACTTTGGCCACCTGATGTGAAGAGCTGACTCATTGGGGAAAACCCTGATACTGGGAAAGACTGAAGGCAGGAGGAGAAGGGGGTGATAGAGGATGAGATGGCTGGATGGCATCATCTATGCAATGGACGTGAGTTTGGGCAAACTCCGGGAGATGGTGAAGGACAGAGAAGCCTGGCATGCTGCAGTCCATGTGGTGGCAGACTTGACACAACTTAGCCACTGAACAGCAGTAAATTCTTAACATTTTAGGACTTTACTTTGTAGTATTGTGTTTTCTAAATGTCCATTTTCTATGTTATTATTTTCCACCTCCTATATATCATAGAACTTAAGATTTTTTTAAAAAATGAAATTTTGTTTGGCAAGATCCAAATAATGAACTGTTATGTGATTTTAAGATATTGAAATTTACAGGCACATCAGTTTGTTTTAATGATGGATTTACTTTTTTCTTTCAAGTTCTCATTTTCATATGAATAAATGAATCTTCTGTTGAGTATCTGAATTTTGAATACCTGAATGTATGTTAATAGGTTGCTTTTTGTGTTGTAGGCTGAAAGTAGTTTCAGTGAAGAAGAGGAAGAAAAACTTCAAGTTGCATTTTCTCTAGAGAAACAAGATCTTCACCTAGTTCTTGAAACAATATCATTCATTTTAGAACAGGTATTTTTATTGCCGCAAAATAGCCTAACCATGATTTTTGTTTACTACATGTTTGCATTGCTGTGACATCTATAGCACTTTAGCTTATTTTTCTAAAGTGTACAGGTAAAGGCTGTGAATATGTTTTATCAAAAATTTTGATGTGGTTAAAAAGTATTTGAATGTGTGGTTTTTTCTCATGGTATTGCATTCTATAACAGTCTTAGTGTTGAATAGCATGAGTAAAGTATTAATATTTGGCATTATGAATCAAGACTTCACTGACTTGAGACAGTTGAAAAAGATTTAAATTTATTGTTACTTGGTATAGTAATTTGGAAAAATGCACACATTTTATTTAAGAAATTTAATAATTGATTTTGAGAATTTATTTGACTAGGATGATAAATAAAACATTTAGAAAAGAAGTAGTTGTCAAAGGACATTTTGTTATAGTCTTTCTTCCTACTGAGCTGCCCTTCTGCATCCCTTTTTTACATCTAAATTCAGTTCATTGTTTAAGTTCCCTTCAGATCACATCTCCTCCCACTGCAGCCTGGACCCGTTATACTCGCAGTCCTCCCCTTATTTGGATTCCTTTTATGCTTGGCTCATCATGGTTGAGCCCATTGTTAGTCTTTTCATTATTTCATGTATATCAGTTACATCTCCTTCACTAGGTTTTGAATTTGTAGGGGGCTAGGATCACATTTTTGGTGCATTGTAGCACATTGCTAGGCTAAATCTATTAAGAATCTAGAAGCAGATTCTTAATAAATTCCTGTTGTTTGATTAAGTAGAAGAATACTTGTGAAATAAAAATTTAAACAGTACTGCAGCTTTTGGGCATTTTGGGACAAAATGCTAGGCTCTACTACATGCAGACTTACACAGTTTACAGATCATAAAGATGACTATGTTCTTGTCCTTGGTGGACCTTCCGTAGAAGAAAAGGATAACCAGACAGGACAGAACAGCATGGGGTTTATGAGAAAATTGTTTCACCAAAATGTGAAAAATAGAACAGGTATCACTGTAAAAAAAAGTTTTCAGGTTTTTTTTATGTATTTACCTAGGAAGTTGGTAGATGAAGATGGTTTTGAGAAAGTGTTTCTTGGAAAAATTGTGTTAGTTGGGGAACAAAACCACTGTGTACTTATTTTGAAATAATTAAGTGAAATAAGGAAATTAATTTTTAATTAGGATACCATTTACATAACCGGAGCAAGGAAGTTGATAAGTAGATTTAATATTACGTAAACCACAGACAAAAATGAAGTTTAGCGTGAATAATTTGGGCCCTTTAATTCTGAATTTTCCACCCTTGGTTGTGTATATTGTTATTTGTAAAATAATAAAAAATTTATGCAATAGAAATATAAAATTTTTAAAAATTTAAATCATTTGAAGTAATGTCATATTTAATTACAGCTCAAGGTCTCTGTGTGAACATTAGGGATATATGTGGCTTTTTTCCTCTTTACTAGGCAGTGTATCACAACGTGAAGCCAGCCGCTTTGCAGCAGCAGTTGGAGAACATTCATCTTAGACAAGACAAAGCAGAAGCTTTTGCCAGTGCTTGGTCTTCTATGGGTCAAGAAACAATTGAAAAATTCAGGCAGAGGATTCTTGCTCCCCACAAGGTACAGGCTGTATTGCTCAAAGGATATTTTTCAGTAATGTATGGCATAAATTATTATACCTAGAAGTTTTTAAAGTGATAATTTTTGTAAAGAGGTAAATCAGGCAATAGAAAGTATGTATATGATATTCCTATAAAAGTATTTCCATGCATATTTGCTTGCTTTCCATGCATAATTTTAATTGCCAATTTCAAATAGGCTTCTGTAACTTTAGGATAGGAATGAGACCTTTTTTCCTTCTGAGTCCTTGGTCAGAGTTGGTTATTCTGTTAACTGTGTATCTTATGTATAAGACTTACTATAATTTTTAAAAGTATTTATTTATTTATTCGACTGTGCCAGGTCTTAGTTGCAGCATGCAAACTGTTAGTTGCCACATGTGGGATCTAGTTCCCAGACCAGGGATCATACCGGGGCCCCCTTATTTGAGGGCTTAGAGTCTTAGCCTCTGGACCACCAGAGAAGTCTCAGACTTACTATAATTTTTTACTGAATCACATGCTTATTTGTTTTTGTGTGTTGGTATTAGGGCCTAGCAGAATGCCTTGTATGCAGAAAGTGCTCAGCATTTGTTGAATAGCAAATAGTAAGCAAAATGAACTCTTTGGGAAAAATATAAAATAATAGCAGTATCACAAAGCTCCTTAATAACCTCTGTGTGTGTGTGTGCTAAGTCGATTCAGTCGTGTCTGACTTTTGTGACCCTATGAACCGTAGGCTACCAACCTCCTCTGTCCATGGGATTCTTCAGGCAAGAATACTGGAGTGTGTTCGTATTCCTCCTCTAGGGGATCTTCCTGACCCTGGAATCAAACCAGCATCTCTTAAGTCTCCTGCATTGGCAGGCAGGCTCTTTACCCTAGCACCACCTGGGAAACTCCAAGTTACTCTTAATGGAGATTAAGATGATCATACAGATTTTGCCCCTTTTTCTATTAATATGTTGTTTTACATAATTGATTTTCAGATTTTCAACCATCTTTGTATTTTGGGGATAAATTTAACTTGGTTTTGGTATATAATCCTGGTTGTATATTGCTGTATTTGCTTTACTAATATTTTGATAAAGATCTATGTTCATGCGGGATATTGGTCTGTAGTTTCCCTGTGATGTCTTTTTTGGCATATGGTTAATACTGACCTCACAAAGTGAGTTCCCCTCTCTTTTGTTTTCTGAAATTATTTGTGAAGGTTTGGTATTAGTTTGCATTTTCACCAACATTAAATGAGAGTTCCAGTAGTTCCAAATTCTTGTCGGCATTTGATATCATCAGTTTGTATTAAAGCTATTCAATTAGGTTTGTAATGGTATCTTGTGTTTTTAATTTACATATCCCTAGTAACAAATTATGACGATGATCTTTTTATGTACTTACTTGTCATCCATAGAGCTTCTTTGGTAAAGTGTCTGTTCAGATCTTTTATGTAACTGTATTTCCACATTATGACAGATAAAGAATCATAGTAATATAAATATAAAGGACAATTATAAGTGTAAATCCCAGCATATCAGAATGCATGGGTTTTGGTTTTGTTCTTGGTTTTTTGGGTGTTACAATTTGTAGAGGGTGTTTGGTTTCTTTCTGTTGAGTTTGGTGAATTTTTAAGTCCTCTGTCAGATATGTAATTTGCAGTTGTCGTCTCCTAGTCTATAGCTTTCCTTTTCAGTTTCTAATAGTATCTTTTGCAAAGTAAAAGCTTTAAAATCTGATGAAGTTTGATTTATCACTTTTTTCTTTTATTAATACTGCTTCTGGTTTTGGATCTAAGAGTTTGTAGCATAATGCAGTGTCACAAAAATTTTCTTTTTTTTTCTTCTAAGTGTTTTATGGTGTTTCCAAGTGTTTCTTCCAAGTGTTTTGTGTTTTACATTCAAGTCTAATATCCATTTTGAGTTAATTTTTTGTAGGATATGAGGTATAGGTCCAAGTTCTTATATTTTTTCTGATATGAATGTTTCATTTGTTTCAGTGCAATTATTGATAACATTCTTTTGTTATTGAATTGCCTTAACTCCTTTGTCAAAAATCATTTGACATATTTGTATGTCTCTTTCTGGATTCTTTTTGGTTTCATTGATATATTTGTCTGTCTTTATGCTGGTATCATGCTGCCGTAATTACTATAGCTTTGTTGTAAGTCTTAAAATCAAGTATTGTTAATCTGCTAACTTTATTCCTTTTAATAATTGTTTCGGGTATTCTAGTTTCTTTACCTTTTAGTGAAAACCTTTAAAAAAAAAATCTACAAAAAACCCTTTGGAATTTTGATTGAGATTATGTTTAATTTATAGATCACTTTGTAGAGAAATGACTTCTTAACAGTATTGAGTATATCTCCATTGTTGTTAGAGTTGAACACTCTTGACCTTTTTTTCCCCCCCCTCTGGAGTTGTTGTAAATGGTACTGATTTAAAAATTTGGGTTTCCATTGTTTATTGCTAGTATATAGAAACACAGTTAATTTTTGTATATTGCTATTGTATTCAAAACCTTGGTAAACTTACTATTTAGTTATAGCAGTGTTTTTGGTTTTTTTCCTTGTGATTTTCTCTACAGTCAGATTGTCCATGAAGAGAGAGTTTTATTTCTTCCTTTCCTGTTTGTCCAGCTTTTGTGTTTCTTCACTACTGCACTGACTAGGACTTCTGGCATGATGTTGAATAGGATTGGTAACTTTGTACTTTGTTGTGCTCTGTTTGTGATTTTAGAGAGAAGGCATTCCCTGTGTCACCATAAGTAACACACTAGCTGTGGGTTTTTACAAAGTGTCCCTGTGTTGTTTTCATTCCTTTCCTTTTATTTTTTTGACTTATGCATTCAAGAGCTCTCAAGAAGGATGTGAAGCTCCATATCACTGCTTCATTTTTCATCATTTAAATTTCTGCTTTCTCCTATCCTATTTTAAAGGTTTATCCAGATTTTGTTTTCCATTCTTTATTCCTGAAATTATTTTTAAACATCTTCATTAAAAAAAAAAAACTCCACTTGCCTTTCAATATTTTCCTGTTTTATATTTATATAATTTTCTTCTGTTTTTCTTTCTTGTATTTATATAAGTACAGTATACTTGTATAGTTAAAAGTGTTTTTTTTTCTCTTCTTTTTTGTTTATTTTTAGTTTTTACAAAACCTTGTGTCAAGGGCTGACTTTAAATAGATCACAGTGAGGGAGCTGCTGACCTAGGTATGAAACCCTGACCTAGAAGCAGGTCAGCTACAGATGGCTTAGCACCAAGTTGCCCATGAATTCGTGGTGTGCAATAGGCCAGGGGGTGGCCACCTTTCTGGCCATGCCGTGTGTCCCACGGCAGAGGGCCGTCCACACCAGACCCCGGTCCCAATGTGTGGTGTGGCACGGTGTGCCCCGAGGGATGCTGGGTGTGGAGACCGGCTTGCTTGGGGTGACTGAGGCTCCCAGGGTGCAGCCATATCAATTGACCCGGGGTCGGATTCTGACCTCGAAGTGATCAGAATCCTACAGATGGTGGCTTCCCCCTATTGGCTCTTCAGCCAAGTGCATAGGCCAAATGTCTGAACCTGTGGTTCCTGTCCTACAGAGCAGAGTTACCATGGCAACAGCACATCATTAGTAGAGTAAAATTTACCTATCTCATAGCAGTCTAAGCCCAACTCACGTTCCACATTAGTGAGTGAACAATCCAACACTTGGCGAATCCTGCCTCTCAGTGATAGGAAGAGCTGACAAAGAAGGATCAAAAAGTGACATTGCTGTGAATGCTTAGCCACCACAAGCCAGTTATCCCTGTGTTAGCTTTTCTGACACTTCCTGCTTTAAAACCCCAAAGGTCAGAAGGATGTGAAGCTCTGCTTTCAGGGTCTTTATTCATACTGAAAATCAAGATCAAGTGAGCTTTTGCCCTTTCAGGGGAGGTTTCTATCCTCCCTGAGCTCATCTTAGGACTCTTTTTTTTCACTTCCAATAGTAAGTCATTGTCTGACACCTTCTGGATGATAGTTTGTTACTCTTTTAAAGAATAATATTTCTTCCCCATGTTATGTTGCATTGCATTAACTTCTGTCTTAAGAAGTGGTTTTATCAGTTGTCATACAAAATATGCAAAAAAAATAGTTGGAAGAAAAAAATAATTGTACGTTGGTCCCTGAGAATGTAGAAAATTACCTTTTGCCAATACACAGTATATGAGAGGATAGCTAATATCAATGCATTATTTTAATGCCTTCAGTGCTTAATTAAGATTGTATAATAATAGCAAACATCTCTTGTGTTTATTGTGGGCCAAATATTCTACTCAGTGCTTTGTAGTAATAGCTTGTAAAACTCATTAATAGTTTTAGTTCATATTTAAAATTAAACTGAAACTTATATTAAATAACTGATCCGTGGTCATGCTGCTAAATAAGTGGTAGAGTTGGGATTTGACAAAGTAGTTAACATTTCTAAACCACCGTGCTAGTCTCCCACCTAGATGTTAGCAGCAGAATTTTTCTGTCAGGCATTATGCATAGTGGTTTACGTAGTAGGTGTGTGTTTTGTATTTTTGAAAAAGAAATAAAACTTGAAAGTGTGCCTTAGCTGTGTTAACCCAAGTGGTCCATGGCGAAGCTGAGGTGGTAATCAGATTGGTCCCTCTCTTAATTAAGCCTTGTTCTTTTTATGTCACGGCATCTCTTGCAGCTATAATGTTATTTTTTTTTTTTTTTTGCCCTGATGACTATTTAGGATATGGTGACTAAAATAGCCATGGGTGAAAATAAATCATGTCATTTAAATTATAACAAAAATATATGGCAGTAGTTAATAGTGGGCAAATGTTGTATTTACAGAGACTGACTGTTGTTTTACAGTAATTTAGAGGTTCTCATGAACTGTCTGTGCCATGTTTGCAGTGGAACATCTGTGTAAGTAATTATCAGTTCAGAGAGAGTCAGATTCAATTAAATAACAAGCTAAAAAATCAAAAAGCTTATTTTTAATTCAATTTTTAAAAATACCTCTTTTCATCTTCTGTTACTTAGA